TCCTGTCTCACTCATAGTCACAGGACTTGACATGATTCTGAGCAAGAGTTAGCAATAACAAAAACATTCCACGCTGCTCAAACACTCAGAATAACTGTTTTCAAGGAGCATTGAAGGTTTCCTTCGTGTTGGAGTAAAGTCACATGGTAGCCTCTCCAGCTTCAGATCCAAAGTTCCCTTTGATGTGACAACCATTGGTAATCACTGAGCGGGGGTGGGGGGGATTCCACTGTGCCTCAGTTTACACCAGCATGAAAATTACAGCCTTAACATCATATTCTCATTCCAAATAAACACTCAATTAAGGCCGTTTAACATAGCTAAATCACATCAGAAGGCTTGCTGCAGAATCTATACAAAATGTGTTCTCAAGACAAAGTTCATGATTTGAGATCTCATCCCATCTCTCTCTCTCTCTCTCTCTCTCTCTCTCTCTCTCACACACACACACACACACACACACACACACACACACAAACTCTGAAACTTGAATCTTTACATTACTTAGTGAATCACTTTAAATCATTCTTTAGAATTTTATTTTGGTGAATATAATGATGAGCCAAATAATCTTAACATCCTCAGAAGTAGATGCATGCCCCTTTCAGGCAAAACTGTCCACAAATCTATTTGCAAAGTGCTTTCTCTACTAGTCTGGAAATCAACTCCTGCGGGAATTAAACGTTTGCTTTTATGTTTCTGGGACACCACTCTTTGCTTGGGACCTTCTAAGTAATTATAAACTAAAACTGTGTCAAGACCTCAAGTTCTATAGATATACAATTGCACAAACAAGGAAAATGTAGATATTTGTGTAGATTTTTAGTTTATTACTCAGAGATAAAACATAGTAATAATCCCTTATGAAACTGGCCCATTTAAACACAGAGATTATTTCGTATAGAATATGTTTATTTTTTTTTTTTAACTGGGAAGGAAAACTGGGAGAAGCAGGGGTACAGGCGATGAATGTGATCAAAGATAGGTATGCTTGAAACAAAGTGTCTTTATGAAACCCATTGCATTGAAAAGTTTATATACCAATAAATACTTTAAAATGTTTAACTTTGAGGTAACTTTAATTTTTCAGAAGGTTCTGTGATCTTACTCATTTCTCCTGAGGATGGGATCTTCCCAAACTCTAAAACTTCATAGCCCCTAGACCTTCAGGTGTTATCATGTTATTCCTGCATGTGCATGTGCGTGTGGTGTGGTGTGGTGTGGTGTGTGTGTGTGTGTGTGTGTTCAGTGCCTTGCAGTTTTATCACATGTGTAGGCTCGGGTGACCGTGCACAATATCTTTGGAAGCAGTTTCTGACTTTTGAGTTTCATCTTGGCTTTTGAAAACAGCCATGTGTGAGTCTCTTCAATCCTTTTACTTCTGTGACCACGGCCTGTCTCTTGCCTACAGTAACTTACTCATCTCTTTGAATTTTACAGCCTCCTTCGTGAACTCACTGCTGGGGGAGAGCTTTGTGTTCACTTGCTTTCTGTAGCACGCTTTTGCTTTCCCAAGGAAAGAAATAAACATACACAGCATTCCTGCCGGACTCACAGGGCTCTTAAAGATACCAGGGAGAATAGATGGATGCAGACATTAAGCTGAAAACCTGCCACAAAAGTGCAGCCTTTAAACTTGGCTTATTAAAATGTTTTTTTTTTTTTTTAAGTCTGGATTTAAACTCTAGTTATAAGTTACAGTGCCCTGTGCACAAAGAGTGAACTTCATGATGTCTTTGCCAGGCAAAATTAGCCCCGCATCTGTGCCTTCTATTCGGGACACAGGCGCGTGAGGCTGGTGTGAACAATGCTTCCAGACTTACAACCTGCTTGAAAGAGAAGCGTTTTCAGAAAACCTCCATAAAGGACATTTCAGATGACCTCAAAACGCCATTCCAGCCTATTCCAGCCCCCTTGCCAGCCAGATGGGAGGCAGGAAAATGCTGCTGCTCTTTAGAAGTTCCGCTCCTCCCCCTCCTACCCCCCAGCAGCTCTTACTGTAGGGAACTCTGTAAGACAATCTCACTTGCATTTCAGGTAACTCAGCTGTTTGGTCTGGTGTACTCCACAAACAAAAGCTCCGCTGGGATTCTGCATTTCCGTTCCTCTCTAGGAAGAGTTTTCTTTGGAGACCAGCTAACTACCCGGATACAGCAAACACCTCCATGGAGCAAGCTTCCAGAGGAGAGGAGAAGCTGACATGGGTTGGAAGCCGAGAGAGACACACACTTTGTACATAGGAGCCAAAAGTGCTCGGAAAGAAAAGAAGGAAAGGAAGGTGTGGTGGTCTGAGATGAAAATCTGTTGAAAAACCGTGTGGAGTCAGCAGAATGGGAGACGATACCTCCTTCAGTTATGATGGAGACAGCAGAATAAATTGTGGCTGAGAAATGGCTGCCTTTCCCTGTCCTGGGCCAGGTGACAGCGACCCTGCTCAGAGGCCTACAGCATCTCACAAACACTCAGGGCCTCTTCTGAGACTTCTTTCAGTTAGCTGAGTCCCGCTGACTGGGAAGACTCCCGACACCTAGTCTAATTGAGTTTTTGAACACCCAGCCAAGGAAAGACAGGATAAACTTTAGTATAAGTTGGACTTCATGGGCCGGACCATGTTTCTTTCCACAGTCAAGAACAATTTAGGCTTTGTGTTGTTAGTAAAAATATGTCACAATAGACATTAAAATTATATACACTCCACTGAAACGTCTAGGGTTTTTTTCCCCTCCTGAGGCAGATAATTAATGTTTCTTGGAAATGTTACAAAGAAATAACCAATTACAATTAGTAACATTTCCAGGAGAGTAGAGTAATTACAATTGTGTCTATGCTTCTTAAGAGGAATGGGTTAAGAACAAGACACAAAGATGTTCCTTAACAACTGGTAATACATTAGACCAAGGCAGGTCCAGCATCAGTGTATCAAACATGGGTGCATTTCCTTGGAAAGAGTCCTCTGTGTATGCAGACACCAGCTTACCTGACTAGCCATTGTATTTCACTATATGAAAGTAAACATGACTGTATCTTGCTTTCCAATTCAGTGTGTTATCTGATCGTTTCATGCCTTTTTGTCCAAATAAGCTCTTCACATTTTTCATTTGTTTATTACAGATACTGGGTTTTGGATTTTAAAACATATTTGATTGCAATATGTGATTGAGTCAAAGTTTTTGAAGAGAGCAATTATCTTAAAATGAATTTTAAATGTCCCTACTAAATTCTTGCATCAGGGTAATATCTCCTGGTGTTGGCTTTCAATAATTTTCTGCAGGGCTATCTTAACTATAATTTTGTTGACATTTTCCTTAAACAAATGCTATGTGTGTGTATAAGAAGATGGCGTATTTCGTCTGCCTCTGCTTCCTCAGACACGCTGTAAACTATGGTGGTATGAAGAGTGAGTGGAAGTTAACTAATGGACACTCATAATTTAGGCAGCAAAAACCAGAATTAATGTATTATCCCTCTGTAGCTTCGAGCACTCGGCCAACCCAAACTTTCTTTCTTAGAGAAATACGTGATTGAGACAATTCCCATCTGTTTTTGACAAACACAAGGGAAGATTCCCACCAGTGACTCTGTTAAAAGCTCTTCTTAACAACTATAAAATGGTCATTATTCCAGGAGTTTATTTCATCAAAACAATTTTCGGTGATAGGAAGAAAGAGAGAGAGAGAGAGAGAGAGAGAGAGAGAGAGAGAGAGAGAGAGAGAGAAAGAAAAAAGAAAGAAAGAAAGAAAAGAAAACCCATTGTACGAGACCAATGTTTTGTAGTCAGAGCAGAAACTTTCAAGATATTTTAAAACAATAAAAATAGAAATAGATGTTTAGGACAATGGATGGCCATGCTGATCTTGATTAATCTAAATTCCTTCTGTGTAAAGTGGAGACTTTCATTTAAAAGAAACATCACAAGATGTGTGAAAAACTAAGGGAAATTAAGTAGGAAGGATTTTCTACACCACTCTCCCTCAAAAGATCGCAGCAAGGCCTCCAAAGAGCGGAGCCCTCAATCTTGCCTGGAAGACGTTGACTCTGGGGCTGCCTAAACAATCTGCTAAGCCGCGGGGCCAGGACGTCCTAAATGCTTTTCTAGAGAGAAACACGCCTTCCAGGGATCATCAGTGTCCAGGTGCCTTTCCCCAGGCAGGGCCCAGCACATACTGCTTCTTCACCCCCATCCTATGCTCAAACCTGTTACCCCGACTGGATCCCTTGCGTTTTCTTGCTGCGGCGCGGGCGGGACCCCTCTGTGTCTTTCCAAGTTCAAGGCTGGTACACTAGGCACCCAACTCTAGATAAGATCCACCTGCCTGCCCTGCAGCCAGCAACTCCAAGCCCTGCATCCACCCTGGCCTGGGTGCCTGGTGTCTCCTGCGCTCCTGGCGCCCAGCGATCTGCTCCGCAAGGCTGTGACCCTGGAGCCCCAGCGCAGGACATAAACCTCTCTGCCTTCCCAGGTAAACTCCCGCGGCGCCACCCGCCGGCATCACAGTACCTACTGAGCGGGCTAGAGCTCAAACCCTCTAGCATCCAAGGCGCGGGCAGGAACTGCAGTCAGAAAGAGCTGATTGTCTGCACCACGCGTGGGCTCTGTGGCTCCGCAGAATGAGCGCGAAGCAACAAGTCGGAGACAACCCAGCGGGCATAGCATCTCCCGGCCTCCGATGGCCTAAAGAAGACGTTTTGACAGCCGCTCCCCACAGGGTCACCCACAGACAACCATCCACCAAGATGGAAAGTGTGACCATTTGTCCAAGGAGAGTATTCAGACCTTGCTTGGGAGCCACTGGACAGAGGATTCCGAACTGATGCCCCTGGCAAAAGGCCTCGGGCGTGCCCCTGGGACAAGAGAGTTTTCCCATCTCCCGCCAATCCTTGCAGGGTGGAGAAACCCCATCCCCGTGTGGTGGCCTGAGGGATCTCGACGAGGAGGGATGCTCTGGCCCGCCCTCCCACCCACCCGTGCGTCGTGGGTGCCCATCTCACGCAGCACCTACCCTGGCGTGCGGGTCCGGAGGTGGGTGGCGCGGCGGGCGCTAGTGGGAGGCGGACATGGACCACGCTCCCTCCATGCGCCACACGGAGAAGGCGTAGCTGAGACGCTCGTGAGCCACGTAGCTGCAGCTGGTCATCTTATTGTCCATCTCGTCGCTCTGCAGAACCTGGTAGAGGAAGTCTATGTACCTGGCGGCCAGCTTGAGCGTCTGGATCTTGCTGAGCTTGTCAGAGGGGAGCGTGGGGATGATCTTGCGCAGCGCGGCGAAGGCCTCGTTGAGCGACTGGGTGCGCTGGCGCTCGCGCACGTTGGCCAGGATGCGCTGGCTCTGCAGCTCCTCGAAGGACTGCGCGCTCGGACTGCCTTTCTTGCCGCGCTTGCCCGGGGTCGGGCTGCCATCTTCGCTCGACTTCTTGCTGTAGCGCCGCTTCCGGCCGAAGCGCTTGGGCTGCCGCTCCAGCTCTTCCTCGCTGGTGCCCAGGCTGTCCACGGGGGACACCGGCGAGCTGGAGCCCTCCTCCATGGCGCCCGCCCGGCGCGCGTGGGGCTGGGGGGCGCCGAGCGCACGCCGCTGGCCAAGCCCGCGGCCGCGGAGCGCAGGCTCCTGGGTCGCTTGCAAAGTCTCTGATTTCGAGGCCGGCTTGTGCAAAACCGAGGTCTCCGGGAGAGGAAGTTATTCTAACTTTTTTGGAAACTCTATCCCGGCTGGGTTGCTAAATAGCTGTCATGAGCGAGGGCGGCGCGCTGATTGGCCACGGTGGCCAGGGGCAGGACAAGTTCTGGGGCCTTCGCCGGCCGCCCCCCCCCCCATCCCCGAGGGGGGGCGGCACTTTCAGTTTTGTCTCCTCTTTTTCGGCCCTGACTGTGGCCGGCATGTCGGAGGCCGGGTCCGCGCGTGCAGTCTGCGCTCCTACCTAAGGCGCGGGCCGCTAATCAGCGGTGCTGACTCTAGGCTCCACCGGGCCTGGCTTTGTCTGAGCCTCGTGGAGCAGATTTGGCCCTGCCAGGGTTCAGGGTCTCCACGAGGGGTGGAGGAGGCGAGTCCAAGCCCAGATGTGCTCCGTGGACCAAGGACGCAGCCGGGAGCCTCTTGGGGCGCGCACTGAGACCTCACCGCCAGCAACGCGATCCTGCCCGCTGTGAGTGGAGCTGTGCAGGCAGAGCCACGACCCCTGGCAGGGCAGATACTCGCGTGCTGGCAGAGATGTCCATCCACCCCTACGATCTCGTCTCTAGGAGCCATAGAGACGCCGCCCCGCTCCAGCCAAAATGCGAGTCGGGGACCACTTTTTAATTCCGATTTTCTGGCGGAACTTCGGTCTGGACACCTTTTCAGAACTTCCCCCCTTGAATGCTTTATGCTTAGGTACCACAGCGAGCCTCTGCGGGAGCGCCGGGTGCCCGCCACGCCCGCCTGCCTGGCCCTGCCCTGAGTGTTGGGTCCCGGCTTGGGGCTCAACCTCAGCCTCTGCACTTTACTTGGTTTGCAAGCAAGTAGTGGACCCAGAACACTGAGAATACGGAGAGGAATGACCCTCCTCGAAGTCCCCTGCCCTAGGCACACTGGTGGGTAGCTTCGGCAGGAGGGCTCAGGGATGCAGAACATTGGGCCAGGCCTTGGTGAACAGACACGGTGGACCCCGGCCCTTTGCCATCTGGACGCTGAGCGCCAGCGCGTTTGAAGTGCTCGGGGTCTCTTTGTTCGCCAGGCCGCTCTAGCGGGGGCCTGGAGGTGGTTTACAGCTTCCTTGCCTTTGAACCTATTCCCAGGTGACCCGGGCTCAACTGGGCCGGGCTTGAGCATGGCTGTCAGAGCAGTCCTGTGATCAAGGGCTGGCTAGGTCTTACTGAAGTTGAACCTGGGGCCAGAGACTCCTCAGCATCAGCAGCTCCTGGGGGCAGTCAGGCGGGCCACGAGGTGGGGCCCGCGGGCTGAGACCACTGTCCTAGGAAGCTGGAAGGGCTACGTATGGCACTTCTTGCCCCCTCACCAAAGATCTGGGTTCTCGGCTCTGGGGGACATCCAACGCCCACCACCACCGGAGCAATGCTCTGTGGAGAGCAGGCCCACTTGCAGAGGACTGTCACAGTGCTACACGTTGCTCCTTAAAAGCTCCCTGGCTCCAGGAAGTTAAAGTGACCAGCCTTACTCAGGCTGAGCGCCTTTCGTCCTCCCTTCTGGGAAGACCACATTTTATGCAGTACCCCAAAGTAGCTTGCTTTCTTTTTAAAATGCAAAACGAATTTAAGGAGCAAAAGAGAGTATCCAGAACTCAGGCTCCTGCCTGCCTGGGTGGCTTTTCTGGGGACTTCCGGGTGGAAGGCATCGGGTACAGGCATGCTGGGTCAATTTTGCCACCCTGTATCACTCGGGTGAGGAGTCGTTCCCCCTCCCCCACCCCCGCGCACACCCCCTTCCCTGGGCCTGGACCCTCTTTAAAGTCTGGCTTAAATAAATCAAATGATATTGTCCTCTCTCTAAAACCAAAGGGTGTTTTTCCAACAGAAGCCTTCCAGGGTCCAGCCCAGCCCCCCCCCCCCCTTTGTGTCTGTTTCTCTTTCTCACTGTCTTCTCCCCTCCTCCCTTCCTCCAGGAGGCAGAGGTCATAGTTGAGATGGAAAGGAAAACAGCCCAACCAAGAAGCCTCCTAGGTCTCAAGCAGCCCAGGGCTCAGTTCAGCCTGGGGATGGGGGTGGGGACATTGCATGGAACACGGAGCTTCCGCTCAAGATGGGGGTCCCCCCTCACCTAGGACAGTGGTTCTCAATCTTCTTAAGACTGCGACCCTTTAATATAGTCTCTCATGTTGTGGTGACCCCCCACACCATAAAATTATTTCATTGCGACTTCATAACTGTAATTTTGCTACTGTTATGAATTGTAATGTAAATATCTGATATGCGACCCCTAAAGGGGTCGAGACCCACAGGTTGAGAATGGCTGACCTAGGCGCTAAGCATTGATGATTTCACATGTGGCTACAGTGGTCGGCTTTTTGTGAATTCCCAGCCACCAGCTCACTTAGTTCTTTGCTCTTCTTCGGGGTGGGGCTTTTCTATCTTAAACACCTTTAACAAACCAAAATTGTATGGAGTCAGAAAAAAACCCTCGCTGGTGGAATTTGGAAGATCTTTCTCTCTCAGGCATTGCCTCAGTTGAAACTTAAAATAAAAATAAAAAAAGTGAGGCATAGACAATGCCAGAGCCTCTCCAGTGTCCTGAACCAGACGGTGGGAAGGTGACACTCAGCCTTCCCTTTCTTTCAGGTTGGTTGAAATGCAACGTTAATGAAAAAGCAATCAGTTTGGGAAATAATATTCTGGTTATTGATATCACCTGAATTTTTTGTCCTTTTAAAAAACAAGTCATTAATAAGGCTAATAAAACCAAAGTATTAATGACACAGGAACAAAATGTGTTTGTGTGTGGATATCCACCAGACCACCCAGATTCACTTCAACATGTGTGAAATATCACGCAGTAAGGGTTCATGGGCACACATGCAGTTCTTGGTATATTTATTCATTATCGAATGTGGAAAATCATGTCAACGCTTCTTTTCGTGGGTGTAAAAACGTGTGCTTTGTTTCACGGGACTTCGATTTCTTAAATAAAAATATGAGCTGACGTTCTGAAAGCGTCTGCTGTTGCTTTCTCTGAACCAGGCACTCTGTTTTCACAGTGGACTTGGTGGCTGCTGGCTGGGTACTGTCACCTGGGGATGGTCTTCCATGCCAGGATACAGCCAGACAGCTCCTAAGCTTTGTTAGGATAATAAATGTTTTTTGATACTCAGGAAACATTTTTTTACAATCCCTCAAAAGCTGTAGAGAAAGCAGTAAACATCCGTTCAAATGCTATGGCTGCTACCTTTTGTCGAATCCCAGGTACGGTAAGCACACCTGTGTGCTCCTGCAGACTCGTCGTCGTCACAGTAAAGCTGTGAGAGATAAGATCAGACACTTAGCAGGGCTCCTGTGTGTATGTGTTGGTGAACCAGTGGGTTGTCACCTCCTCTCGAGTTGAGTGAGGCAAAGCTTAAGCAGATGACAGAAGCTGTTACTTGTGTAACAGACCCCGTGACCTTGATCAAGAGGTTGAAGACGCCTTCTTGGTCCTTTCGCTGTTTTGGGCAGCAGCCTGCTAGTGGCTTGCACAGCAAGAGAACTCAGGTGCCTTTCTTTTGAATCACTGTCTTAGACATGGGGCGCAGTGAACATGACGCTCATCTACAGAAGCCCTGATTCCAGAGGTGGGCTTTTGAGAAGTATGTCAGGCTGGTGACCTGACTCTGTAGACCACAGGGGTCTTCAGCATCGCTTTGCTGAATGTTAAAACTGTGTGGGGATCATATGCTGTTGGCTTCTTAACAATGTCCCATGTCACTGTTGATGCCCTTCCTAGCTGGATTTGTGTCGTTCAGAACATTCCCTGTGGGAGCCTCTGGCAGGCTGGGGAGCAGAAACGGCATTTACTTCTCATCCTGCAGTCCCAGGTTTAAGCAAGCCCCACAGTGAATTACTGACTCCTAGAGATGAGTCTGATGTCCTCCAGAAAGTAAGCCTTAGAGCCAATCCCATCTCCATTACAGTGTCAGCAGAGAACTCACGTCCAAGGCACACACTATAGGCAGGAAAGAGTGTTTTTAAAACCCCGACAGGTGGATGTGTGCTGAGACCTTAGGGTAGGGGCTCCACCACTGTGTCTGCAACGTTACCAGGGGTTTAGTCCAGTGCCAAGGCTAGAAGCATTCCCACCCTCCCTTCCATCGGTCTCCCATTTCTTCTTGATTTGATGCTGCCCTGGCTTGTGGAATTTTGAAGCAGTTAAAAGACTAGCCTCTGGCTACATCTGCAAAGACATTTCCAGAGAGGTTGAACTGAGGAGAGAGCCTACCTTGATTCCATGGGCCGGGGTCTGAGACTATTGAAAAGGAGAAAGTGAGCTGAGCACCAGCATTCATCTTTCTGCGCTTCCTGACTGCAATTAGCCCCCCCTCCCCCCTGCAGCGGCCCTGCCTTCATAGAGCCAACATAAGCCCTTCTTCCCTTAAATTGCTTCTTGCTAGGCATTCCATCACGGTGATGAGAAAGACAATTAAGATACTGTCAGTATTCGTGTTTCCAATGGTAAAATCACCACTGTTTCTCTGTCAGTCTTAACTGTAATCATCTCACATCTTTGGGAGTCAAGGTTTCCAGAGACAGAGGAAACAGACATGGGTATTTACAGGAGGAGATAAATGATGGTGCTGAGTCCAGTGGAATTGGGGCTCATCCTGTATTTCTTAGCAATGGGCATCCTGATCCTGACCCATGGGAAGACCTGAGATCACTGACCTTTCTGCTATCTGCCTGAATGAACCATTCATTGGACAAGGTCTGGGGCCAAACTCTGACACATAAGACCGAGCATCTTTTTGTAGGGGAAGGTGAGGACAGGACTCTGTCCCAGACTGCTTGGTAATGTTAAAAGGAGAAGAGCCTAAACGTGAGTCCACAAGCCAGAGCAGGGCAGGATGAAAGGCCTTAGCACAATGGCCATGGATAGAAACATATGAGATACGATCAAACCCATGAATCACAGTGTCAGTCAAACACAAGTCCCAGTGGTCACCATTGGCGGCTGCTGAGAAGTTGGCTCACAGCTCCGGGAATGGTGAACAAAAGGGAAGGGGTAAGACTGCAGCCAGGCTTTCTCACCAACCAAGCGCACTTCACAGTCATTGAGGGGCTGCTGGGAAAATGGCCCATTCTAAGGAGGCTCTTCAATGGGTGAGGATCCCAGCGTGGTGGGATCACACCAGCACCATTCTGCAGAGCTCTAGTGGGAGGATGGGTAAACATTGAAGGCACAGAGAAGCAGCCCACCCCTCTAAGATGAACAAGCAGACCGGCTGTCCCAGCACTGCGTTCTGGGAGCCAGTTCCAGGAAATCTATGGTGAATATGGGTGGGTATAGTGGTGTCATGTGATGCTTTTGGCTCTGCTCCCTCTGCTCAGTTCCTAAAGGGCTCCTTGCACTTTTTACCACAATGGGTAAGACTGGCCACGTCTAGAGCCATGCCAGTGGCTAAGGGGTGCTTATACCCCTGCACTGGAGGGGAGCCTGTGGCAGGAGTGAAGGCCTGGAATCCTTGCCTGCAAATAATCAAAGGGCAACCTGAATCTGCTTAGCAGAGAAAGAATGTATTAACTCATTTATGTGGGTATCTTGGGCTTGTTTAGGCTTGGCTAGATCCAGAAGACTCAGTGACTTTTCCTGTGTCTTCTCCTTCTCCACATCTTAACTCTGCTTCCCTCTGTGTGGAGATGTCAGATCTGACATGAGAGGCCTGAAGCCCCAAGGTGAGACCTGGCTGACTTGACTTCAGGCTTAAGGGCTATGACTGTTCCTGTAAAACATAGACAGGGGGTCCTTCTGGTGTCCTGAAGGTGAGGAGGTCCTAGGAAGAGACACTGGTGTAGCTGTTTTCCTGTGTCTCACCCAGTCTGCAGGCACTCAGACCCAAGTAAACACACAGAGGCTTATGTTAATTAAAACTGCTCAGCCATTAGCTCTGGCTTACTACTGAATAGCTCATACACTTAAACTCAGCCCATTTATGTTCATCTATATGTCACCACGTGTTCCATGGCTTTACCTGTGTGCCATTACATGCTGCTCCCTGGATGGCGGGCTGGCGTCTCCTGACTCATTCTTTCTCTTCCCAGAATTCTCCTTCTCTGCTTATCCTACCTATACTTCCTGCCTGGCTACCTGGCCAATAAGCATTTTATTAAACCAGTGTACAAAAACATTATTCCACAGCATCCCTTTTCTGTTTAATTAAAAAGGAAAGTTTTAACTTGAACATAGTAAAATTATATATAACAAAACAGTTATCAAGCAAGAATTACAGTTACAATACACTGGGCTGATGAACGATATGTGTGGGTCTGGGAACCATGGAAAGAGGTGGGCAAGGCTCCTGAGGGTCACAAAGAACCAGATACTAAGTTTCGATTTCCTGCTGGTGGCAGTGGGATGCAAAGAAATGTTGTAAGGAAGTGATGGCCACAATTGATTTGGTTCTGAAGGCAGCTGCAGAAGACAGCCAAGGAGTGGCTGCATGTGTGCACACTCATGTGTGGGAGGGGGAGAGAGGAGAGCACGTGCACACGTGTGCACGTCTGTGTGTACATGCTGGGAAGAGGAATACAGTATATGTCCACACGTTTATGCATGTACACCTGTGTGACTACACACATGTATGTGTTCGAGAGCAGTGTGTGTCTGCAGGTGTATGCTCATGTGTGTATTTGCATAGGGTATGGAGGGTGAGGTTTCAGAAAAGGAAGCGCAGGCATTGACTGCTCCTGGTGTGACAAGGATGCCCGAAGCT